CTGCTGCTGCTGCTGCTGTTGTTGTTGCTGTTGCGGCTGATTCTGTTGCTGGCCCATGGCATCCGGAAACATTGATCCGCCGATGCCAGGCGCATTGCCAGCCTGGTCAAAGAAAGCATGCATCATCCCGAGGCCCTGCTGCGGATCCGTGGTGGGAGGAGCCTGCATGCCGGACGCCGCCAGCGCCTGATGCGATCGCGCGAGCTCGGCCTCGAGGAAGCCGATTCGGCCCATCTGCATGTCGAGGAACTGCTGCAGATGGCGGATGTACTCGACGCTCTTGCGCAGGATGATGCCTTTGTTTGGCTTGGCTTGTGCTGCGGCCAGCGCGGCGCTGTTGGCGTGTACAGGCGCTAGAGCCGCCGCATAGGCCTCCGTCGACGACTTTGGCAAAGATGTCTGGCCATCGGGACCGCCGGTGACTGCCTCTCCTTTCGCCGCAGCCGCAGCCGCCGCTGCTAGCGCAGCCTTTGCGGCGAGCGCAGGCGCAAACGTTCCACTGTTGCCTCCCTGCGTCGAGGTGGCGATGGCGTCGAGCAGCATCGCCTCGGGCAGTAGCGTGGCGAGCTCGGTGATCTTTTCGTTGATGTTGTCCCGCCTCCGCCTCTCGACAGCGTTGTGCGACTCGCGACGCTTTCGGCGCTTTTCCGCTAGCCTCTTTGCCTCGGCCTCGCTCTTGGCGCCTGTGCCGGCCGAGGGCACGTCATCATCGTCGTCGCCAGCATCGTCGTCATCGTCCTCCTCGCCTTGCTGGTTTTCCTCTGGACTGACGGTCTTGTCGATCTTTGGTGCCTCGGCTTTGGAATCCTTGGTGAGCTTTTCGCGCGAGGCTCGCGAGGCCACCTTGCTGCGGGAAGCCTTGGCCGATGCGGTCTTTGCTTCGCTGGTTTCCGAGGTATCGCTTGAGCGCCCCGACATCTCCCTCGACAACACGCTGCCTCGGTGAGGCTGTTCGGTCTCGGGCACGCTGGCCATAGCAGATGTGCCTTGGCCTTGTGCGTATGTCGGGAAGAGGAACGGATTGAACGACTGCCCAGGGCTTTCGCCTTTGACCGCAGCAGTGTTGGCTTGATTTCCACCCGACGATACGGATGGCGTCTGCAGATTCAGATGCGCCATGCTGGCGTGGAAGCTGTGAGCCGTTGGGAGCGACGAAGATGCCGAAGCGGTGCCACTGGGTTGTTGCTGCGGCTGCGATGCTTGGGACTGTGTGCCCCACTGCGCAGGCTCGTTGTAGTTGAGGTGCAGGTTGGACTGGCCCGAGCCGTCGGTGCCGAAGAGGCTCCAACGATGGGTCTGGGCCTGGAAGCTGGATGAGAGGCCCATGTTGGAGCTTGATCCACCGGCACTGGAAGCCGTCGAAGCAGAGCGTGGTGGCGCTGGCGGCGCTGGAGCAGGCTGTCCGGCAAGAGCCGCAGGACCGATTGTGGCGCGGCGGCCCACTCTGGCTCGGGACGAGGGCGCTTTGCCGACGCCGCCCCGCTCGGTGGACGGGGAACGTTCGGCCGCGCGCCTTTCCGCACTGGCAGCGACGCGAGTGCGACTTCGGCTTAAGCTGCGAGCGGTCTTGGAGCGATTGGTTGAGGACGCATTGCTGGTGGATCGATGATGGCGACTGCCCGAGGTCTGAGGCAGACTGCCGACGGCGGTGCCGAGCGAGCTGGGCGTGAGCACACTGGTGGCTATTGTCGAGGTGGTCTCGCCATTGGAGCCGTCGGGAGAATCGCATTCGTCCATGGAGGGAGTGTCCTTGCCCAGACGGTGGAGCGCCTCGTGTGTGGGTTGCACTGTGCCAAAGGTGCGCGACTGGAGGCCAAACATGTCAAGCGAGGAGGTGTAGGGGATGTTGACGTAAGACTCTCCGAACGCCTGTTCACTGGGTACGTCCGTTGCGGCGGGTGCATTGTTGGCCGATGTCTGATGGTGATTCTGAGCCATGTTGGAGGCGTGACTGCCAGTGTTGGGTGCGGGTGAGAACTGGTTCCAGAGGTCGTCGTTGAGGAGGATGTCGGTGTCGATGAAGCTGCTGGGAAGGCCGTTGGTGCCAAAGGGGCCGAAGAAGTTATTGGCATTGGCAGATGGCGCAGCGGACTGGACCTGTTGGGAGCCTGGATGGGAAGTCATGGCAGGGCTCGGGCCGAGGCTGGAAGCGCCTGGGGCGAAGCCCTGCTGCCGCTTCTTGGGCATCATGATGTCGATGGCTTGAAGGCCCGACGCCTCGACCGATGCAGGCATGGACAGTGGCTGGGCTGAGCTGGGTGGATCGCCGTAGCAAATGCAGCAGGTAAAACTTGTTCCAGCGGTCAGACGATGGGCGAAGGCTAGAAAAGCAAACAAGGCGGGGCCGAAGTCGAAGGTCGCAGGAGCGGTAGATCCAGAGTGCTGTTATGAAGATCGCCGGTGCGAGTGTGACCGCACTTTGGCTCGACGCGAGGGTGCGAGGATGCAATGAGCTCGGAGCGCAGAGATGGAGCACGAAGCGGGCGTCGAAGGTGACAATGTGGGCGAGACGCTCCAGGGCAGAGGTCGCCGGTGTGCCTGTGCTTGGCGGAGAGCAGCAAGCTTTCGATGGCACGAAGAGAAGGGTGGAAAGGCGAAAGTATGAAGCGGAGAGGACGGGCTGACCTCGACGCGAGTGGACAGGATGTGGATGGCAGCGGTGGAGGAAGTAGCGACACGCCGGAGCTTT